CATTGAATGAGGCGAAAATATGGGCAACTCCGAAGACCTCCTCGCCATCGCGGACTTGAGGCCCGAGGGATATATTTTCTTCAACTTTGACCTTTTTCTTGGATTTTGACTAAAATAAGGATAGAAATAATGTTCGATCAATGATATATGTTACGAAGCGAAAACCTGTCGTTCTATCTAATTGTAGATTTCTTTATAACGAATTATAGACAGGCAGCCTTATTTGATCGTACACACCATTATCTTTTTAGATGGATGACAAGGAAGAGGGGAGGAAAAAAAAAGTATGGTACTAATATTTATTTATATTAACGATCCAATGATCTGACGGAATTTTTTATAATAAATAGCAATGTTTTGGTCCTCAAACTAATATGTACGAGCATAAAGTTAAAGAGATAATTTTCCTTGGAACAGGCATAGTGATCTCATATTATATACAATAACATATGACCGTTTAATTAGAGATTACTAACACTGTATTCTACATAGGAACCTCTTCGGGAGTGCCAGTAATAGATTGCTTAACAAACCCGAATTCCAAGTGTCTTACTTGTTTGTCAACCCGCAAGCCAGGAGGCGCTGTCAATATCAGAAAAAACACTAGTTTACTTATTCGAGTAGAGCATAACGATGGTCGACTGAGGTAAAGTCTGTGGGGTTTCGTTTCATTGAAAATATCGAGACGGACGAGAATGAATTGTTGACAAACTAACTTTTAGATGATTTTGAAAAACTATAGAAATATTGTAATTGATTGCGGGAAGAGTTTTTATGGTTGCTTGACTTTTTCTGCTATCTTGTATTGTCTATTCGATGAGTATAATTGTGAAATTGGTAATGTTTTAATTGCTTGATTATTGGTAGAATCGGCATTAAAGTGGTGGCCTCATTATAAATTGAGAAGAATAGATGCTTTGATATTGACTCATCCACATGCAGATGCAATCAACGGTCTTGATGATTTGCGAGCATGGACGCTGAATAAAATGATCCAAGACAATATCCCCATTTATCTGACTCGTAATACTATGGAGGCTATTAAGACGACGTTTCCGTATATTGTTGATAATAGACAGGCTACAGGTAGTGTGAATGGTAAGGTAGTTCAAGATGTTTGTAACGAATGGGTTAATTGACACTAAACTTTTTTATGTAGGGGGTGGGGATTTACCTGCGTTCACTTATAATATAATCGATGTCTCGACCCCATTCACCATAGAGGGATTAGAGTTTATTCCATTAGAAGGTGCGATTTGAAATATATGTCGTTTTAATTCGTGCAAAGATTTAACCATCATTACAATGCATTGGTTTCTAATTTTCAGCACATCATGGGGTGTACCTTACCACAAATGAGCCGTATATCTATGTCGGTTTTAGATTTGACAATATATCTTATGTTTCTGATTGTAATTTCATTCCCAAGGAAACATTGGAGAAAATGGAAGGAAGTGAAATCGTCATACTGGATGCACTTGACCGTAAGTATTCAAAGGCTAATATGTTCTCTGTATATACACATCAACATTATACTAATTCATGCCGATTTCGCAGGTGAAAAACATTCTTCTCATTTCTCAATAGGTCAGGCGATAGATACAAGCCGAAATCTCAATCCCAAACCAAAGAGGACTTATCTAGTTGGTTTTGCACATAGAATAGAACATTATTCCCTTACTAGAGAAATGGAAGAGCTCCAGAAGAATGAACCTGACTTGTGGGTACGACCAGCCCATGATGGTCTGCGCGTTGGGATGGAAGAATTACTTCCAAAACAATCTTATCTTGGACAAGTTTTACGCTTAATATTTGGCGCGTCAAATTAATTTAATTGTCAAAAATAGTGTTGATTCGTTTGTTTGTTTTTTTCGAATAAAAGTAAGGATAAACAACGTCATTAACGTTATAAGACAGCATAGAATAAAATTAAGTTAAAAGAATTTCAGTAATTACGTTCATGGTGTTAACAAAATGATTTTATTCTCTGTATATTGGCGTGAACCTATTTCCCTTCTTGCTCCATTAGAGCTGTTCACGCAATCAATCCTGCATGTCTCAACAAGGGTTTGATATCCGCCGATTCACGTCCTCTAAATAGTTTCCATACTTCTGCCGGATGTGTTCCCCCACCAAGTGATAACACTGTCTCTCGATATAATTTTCCAGTCCGCACTATCGCATCAATCCTTTCTTTCCCTGTCAAACCTTCCGCCGCTTCTTCAAAAGCAGCATACGCATCAGCAGAGTATACCTCTGACCATTTATAGCTGACGATAAAATAATACTCGTTACAATCGCAAACGCTAAATAAAAAACGCTAACGTAAGTTGATTGAATTACCTATAATATCCGGCCGCATACGATCCTCCGAAAATATGCAAGAAGCCACATAAAAATCTATCTTCAGGAATAAGAGGAACGACAAGAATACGCTCTGATATTTCTCTGTCAAGATCAAAAACAGTCTTCTGTTTAGCATCACTATCCGATAGTGGAAAAGTCGAATATAAAGCCAAGTCACTAGATGCAAAACGAAGCTGTGAACGCAACGATGAATCATCCGACTTAGCGATAAAGCATTTAATCAGCTCAATAGAGACGATAGTATTTCACTTTCTACCTGTCTTAGCATAGCCGTTGCAGCTAAGAATGTTCGACGTTTGGCGAGAGAATCGACCATATCCTGTGGCATTGGGTCTCCCGATACGTGATGGGCAGAGAGACGTGCTACCCATTCTTGCTCGTAACAGAAGTTTTCCATAAATTGTGAGGCTACCTACAGTCCGGATTACTGTTATTATAGTTATGACTAAACATAATTATTGTTATAGTTCCGTATTTGTATCACCTCCACAAAATCCCTAAATAAACAAATGTCTATCAGTAATGAATATAAGACAATTGTAAGGCCAATTCAATTCCAGCAAATAGCTCATTTACCATTCAATTCCTTTAATTCCAGACGCTTGAAAATAATCAACAGTCGTACACAACTAAAAATACAGAAACTCGTTATTTCTGTAAGATAACCATATGAATATCTAAATAATGCGCTATATAAGTTTGGCCTAATACTGACGTGTTGAAGACAATGACCAAACTCATGGAACACAGTTTTGACGTCGGAAAATGTCATTGTCGATGGAGGTCCAGATTTAGATGGTGGAGGTTGGTTGCAAACCAAATATGCTATTAAAAAAATCATGAGCTTGCGCGAAGATAGGTAGATAAATGACTATGATAAAAGGATGATTAATGTCTCACCAACGGGAAGTCTGACTTCCCCCGTCTTTGGATTTTTATATCTTGTGCATAACATGTCCATCCATGCGCCAGAACGTTTTTCTTCTATTCGGCTAATTAGATAAATGTAACGATAACCTCCCCTTTACACGTTTGGGTAATAAAGTTTTGCGACAAGTCCAAACTTACCAGTAGAAATCGCCGTAAAAGTAAGCAAGCGTTTCCCCACTATTCTTATCAGCAAGCCTAAATACCTTAACATCTTCATTCCATGTACTTATTCCTTCTTCCTTTTGATTAATTTCATCAACTTTGACGTTCAAAACCTCCTCGACGAAAGAAAATAATCCACCAATTACTTTGTCAAAACTAAAGTATTGTGCAATATCGTCTTCGGAAAATCTCAACACGTGTTTACGGTATTGTTCACTGATATAGCTAATGTCCCATGGCGCAAGAGGTATAGGATGCCCGAGAGTATCCCTGGCAAAAACGGTGAGTTCTTCAATTTCTCGTTTACCTGCAGGAGAGGAAGCTTCGATAAGGTCCCTGATTAAAGCGTTGGCCGTCGAAGGCTTTGCCGCCATTTTTTGAGCTAGCGATACGGAAGCGTAATTATCATAGCCGAGAAGCTTTGCTTCCTCTACGGAAAAAATGTTATTTTTAATTTTACAGTTGGAGTATTAATAGAAATAATAAATCTGGTGAATACCTTTACGAAGTTTAAGAATCTCGTTTATTACAGGTTCATTATTAGTTTCACCAGAAGATGCTCTTGTCACATACGCTCGATAAACCTACACGTAACACACCGAATTAGTTAATTAAAAGACACTGGCGATTATATTGCTCCTGAATCCGCCGCCGACGATTAGTTTCGTTAATTGCCCCAAAGACAAGAGTACATAGCGCGGCAAGTACCTTTTCTCTGAGAGGACGGTTACTACATAACATCATAAATGGAACATAGACGGGTTGATCCAAAGTCACCACCCAAGGCCCTTTGACTATCGAAACATTGTTTAAGTTGTATGCAGTTATAACTGTGGTTTCATCATAATTTGCCAAATCCCATTAATCATACCAAAATCGCCATCACCAATGCCTTCTTTTTTAGCTGTCCCAGCCATTAATTTCAAAAGACGCTCTGAACACCCTTCCAATTCCTTCCTGTCATTCACAATTTCTTTAAATGCCTTCGTAGAGTCCAACACGTTGTTTTGAAATTTAAGATTCAGAAGAGATAACCTCTCCTTGATTTCGTTAAATCGATTCTTCTCCGGAGAACCTTCCGGTAGACCTACACCAGCAAGCTGCATTTCCTGAATTGTTTTATTAATTATTCTTTGTTGCGTTTGATTCAAGTTGGAAAATGAAGGACTGGAGACAAGAGCAGTCAGTGCGTTGTATTTCTTGGGTGATTGGTTCATTAAAAGCACCAGTTTTGTATTCTTAGCCTTAAAATAAGTTTGACAAATTGATTAAAAACTTTTGGCATAAAACTGAACTAGGAAGCACAGAATCCTATTTATATTTCAAAAATTAAATCGCTTACTTCAATGACTTCTATAGCTTTGCGAAGTTCTTCGGAATTACAAACGCCATTTAGATGCGAAACAATATTATACGCGCGAAATACATCATCCTCAAGATCTTCAACTAAAATTGCAAAGAAACAAGTTACAAATTAAACGAAGGCAACCGCTAGTTTTTTGCATTGCGCTCAAATTCACGGTTATCGTCGTCACGTCTTACTTAGTCCCATGGTTCCTTCCCAACTTGGTGTGAATTCATCTTCTCTCTTCTTAAATTCCGCTTCAACTCGCTTTACCAACAAATCAAACGCTGGCACGACAGGGGACGACTTAATCTCTCCGAAGTTTGGAAATTTATCCCAATCTAACAAAGGGTATTTCATTTCTTCAGGAGTTTTGGCAAGCTTGAGTTGAGTCATTATTCCATACGAAACAGAGCGAGTGGGCAAAAAGATTTGAGCAGATCGATATGTATAGCGTGTTGCTGGCAAGAATAATAGACAAGAAAAGTGTGAACGACCAAGGTTGCGTGAGAAAGGTAGACACCAAACGAGACGCATCTCCAAAATTATGGGCTGATTATCGATGCGACACTATGCATTCATGTTTGTGTAACCTTCCCAGTATCACATTCTATCCCTTAAACTGTATTTACATATACAGGGATCCGCCAACAAAATCGATGCTACTAAGTAAACACCCTCAACATACAGTATATAGTTTGCCAGAAACCTTGGAATCGTAGCTACTAGTATGTAAAGTCACGTGATCGTAGGTTGCACGAGTCGGTCAATATAGTCTTGTTTGTCTGCAGATCTCTTACCGATCATTAACCCTAAGTAACAATTAATCGCCGATGTGCTAATAGACCTGAATTTAGACAGGATAGGACAATCAGATTGCGCGTTATAATTCCATACAAAAATTTAACGTTGTAAACTGTTAGTTAATTATATATCTTAGTAAAAAAGTCTTATTATACCAATTTTGAAGCCATGTTAGGCTCTCAATATATAGTTCGTGGGTTGTCATCATAAAGAAACAGATTTCAGTAGGGATGACAAAATTGCTGAACATGATTATAAATCAGAGCAGGAAGAGCAATAATAAAAGCACTGAAGACGAACAAAGCATTAAAAATAATGTAAGAGCTCAAGAACTCGGTAGAGGGGAAGCAAGGGGAGGAAGTATGAGGGAAAGTATGAGTTTAAGGGACATAAGTGTCTGTCTTCAAATAGT